CAAACAAAATAAATTGTATTCAATGAGAGAATGCCATTCTTGAGTAAATAATTTCTGTTCACTATAAATGAAATCTATACACTAATGCTTTTTCTGGGCCAACACTACTTTCCCAAATCAATATTACACTAACTAAGTAAGTATCTGTTTATTATTATTATTTATACAAATTTGTATTATAATTATTAACATCTTACAAATTATCTTTTCATTAAAACTAGTTAATACTAAATTATTAAATTTAAAATTACTTCTGTGTTAAACAAAATTGATTTTAAAATATTACTATTTTTATTTTAAAATATGTCTCACTATAAGTAAGTAAAAATAGTAATTTTGAGGTTATTAATGAGAAATATAATTTATATCTATATATCTAAAAATTTTGGGCCAACAGTATAATATATCACAAACTTTACATTATTTGCATTATTTATTCGCTTAACGACAGAGTTTTTTGTATTTCCCATCAGATGTTCATATTTATGCAAATATTCATAAATAATCCATTGGTTTAATGCTGGAATACATAACATATTTTTCACTTAAATAATATTCTGCTCACATAATTTAAATCAAAAATTCCTGAATATTTTACAACCAAATTTTGTATCAAAATTTATCGACAAATTCAACGTATGGCTCATATTATATTAATGTCGACATCGGTTTATTTCCCTAATGTTTACTAAATATTAATATAATATTCAAATGTTTGACATCCAAATCATTACATAAGCACAATATTTTAAATCCAAGTGTTTTAAGCGTAAACTAATTCAAACATTATAAACAAAATCAATTAATTTAATCTTTTATTCATATAAAGCATGTGAGAGATGTTTACAATTAATGAAAAAATTAATTTAAACTGTGTTTAGCATATAATTTAAATAATGAATAATTTAGACTTAAATTATTTATAGAAAACATTTTGAAAATATTTCAAACTAATGCTAATAACAGTAATTGTTATAATTAAGTGTTATTAGGATTTGTTTGGAATATTCTCAAATATTTTCAATAAATGGTTATTGTTATACACCATATACTAGTATGTAAAGAATAAAATTAATACATGCTATACTGTTATATAAGTTTATGTGACTATTTTCCTAATGTTAACCATTAGTAGAGTAGAGTATAACAAATTCTGTACTCATAATACAAACGAAGTAATTATTTATCAAACCATCGCTTTAATTGAGTTATTTATTCAATTTTTCTCAAATCTCATTAATATTTCACCGCTAATAGAGTATAGGATTTTATTAAATATATTTGTTTATATAAATTATATATTTTGAAACAATTTAATAGAAACCTTATAAATAATAGACCAATATTTGAATATTCTTACTATTAGTTTAGAAATCGGGAAATAATGATTATATTAGCGATAATAGGATTTGTTTAAAACAAGTTATTTCTGCAATAAATTTTTGCCAAAATATTTGAAAATCAATCGGAAATTTAAACGAATAAATAAGACTCGAATAAAAATGCAATTTCTTTGGGGAACAAAACTAGTTCCCAAAAAAGCATTATCTTTGGCTGAGTTTTATAACACAAATTCAAACATAAACTTTGGATAAAAATGCAAATTCTTGTCGTGAGTGCGAAGTAAATAAAATCTTTAAAGAAGTAGAAAACAGACTCAAAATATTTTTCTTTTTATACTTTCACTACAATTTATAGCAAAAAATTAAATAAAAATCTAGTGATTATAGTGAGTATTGATTAGAGAATAGAGTCGATTCCACACCTGATATCCAAATCCCATCGAAATCTTTGGGTTGAAACACATTGGCTGCGATTTCTTCGATTCTAAGGCGCGGATACTTTACTCGTTTGAGGCCATTGTCTGACACAAAATAATGGGAAAAATTTATCATTTCCAAAATCAATACTTTTAACCGAAAAATACTTTTATTATTGAGTAAATATTAGTTTAAATACTATCGGCTAATCTTATAATATGGAAGAGTGAACAGAATATAAATGATATTTCTTCTCAATTTATTTTATAAATTATAAGTTTAGATAAACTTAAATAAATCTTTGTTATTGTTACCATTTTTTCGGACATCACTTTCTTATAAGTATTTCTGTTTTTGAAATCCTTTCCTAAACTTTTAACAGATTTTGATAATAAAAGAGTAAAGCTTGTAATTTGATTTCTATAATATCTATAGAATAGTATTTAACCAATTCTTATATATAATAACATTTCATAAACTAATTATATTTTAAATAAAATATCTAAAAAATATAAAATTAATAAAATAGAAGAAAGGAACTAATTATATGATATTAATTAATATACAATAGAGATATGGTTTTAGTTTAGCCATATTGTAGTGCTGCATAAATTAAATTACCACTCATACAATACTGTATAAAAATCGTATGCAATATATGACACAAAACATTTATTTCCTTAAAATGTATTGTATTGTGAAATGTGTTAATAATATCTACTGACTATTAATAAACTCAATAAACACTGCATATTAATAATATACCCACACAATGCCTACAGTATTGTAATTTACTCAATGCTGATTACAATTGATAAATCTATGAAATACTAAACATTTTACATTATAAACCCTTTCCGTTGGGATATTATTTATGCAAAAATTCATACAAATTGTCATATTTGAAAACACTGAAAGTTTATAACAAATTGTGTTGAAAATATTAGTATAGAAATAAGAAAATGTTTGAGACCTGGAGTGAGAAGTATGATGGAAGTGATAATGAGGGAGCAAATGCATCCGATCACACAAATGGCAATACATATCCCTTTGTAGTTCTTCTCCTCTTCCGTCGAGGCCACCAAATCCTAAGCAAATCAATTAGTAGCAAGCAAAATAGTATAGTTTGCTAATAAAAGTACTGTTTTTACTGTTGAAACAAATTTTAATATATTTAAATAATTCTAATTGACTTTTATTAGTATATTTTTCACTCAAATAACTATTTGATAAATTTGATAACATTTAAAACAAAAATTTTTATCAAACGAAATTTAATCAGTTTATTGCCATAAGAAATTCAATTATTCTTTTATTTTGCTATAGATTTTCGAAATGCTTGTCTCGATTGTGTCCAAAGCATTGAAAACTTTTTGAACGTAAAATTATATATTCGACAAACGTTTGGAAAGTAAACGGAGTGTAAAAAGCAATAAAAGTTTATTAGGAATTACTCCTCAATTATAGTAATTTAATTCACAAAAAATCAATAGTAAGCTAAACACTTAAAACAATATTTTAGTTTTTGTTATATTTATAGCCAAAACTCATAAAATAAAGAAAGAAAGGAGAAAAATAAAAGTAGAGAGAGAGAGAGAGAGAGAGAGAGAGAGAGAGAATGACAATAATATTATTTCCATATTACAAAATACTATGTGATAACTATATCTATATTATTTTAATCAAGTCATGAATTACCCAAATGTATCGATCTATTTAGAATTTTTAAAACAAAAATTTATACTTTCAAATTAATTAATTAATTAGTTTATTAGATTTAATTTTAATCATTTATTTCATTCATTTAGTATTAGTCTTACTGATAAGAATGGTAACAAACATTTCAATGAAACTATTGATTTATTTTCATCTATTCTGCCAATTGATTGGTTTAATTAATTTTAATTCATTTCTTTAAGGGTTAATTTATTTCAACACAAATAAGTTTTAATTAAATTTAATTAATCTTTACTTGAGTTGAATCTATAAATACTGAGCCACGCATACATTAATCTTAATTAATAAATGACAAAATAATAATTAAAATCAATAACTCTTTTGTGTGACTTATAAAAGGAAAGCGTTTTTAAAACACAGATTTTTGTTGTTGTCAATCAAAATGCTTGAATTCGTAAATTAATTAAGAAAACATGAAATTTTGTCATAATTATAGTCTTATAAATGAATTATTGGACCATAAATGCCAGTAATTATTAATTACAACTTTTTCACTTTTATTTTTACTTATTAGTCGAATGAATACATATTTTATATTAATATTACCGCTAGAAATGATACAAAATAATTAAATAACTTATGCTCAATTCATTCACTGTTTTGCATGAATTCTATATATAATTCAAATTTATTATACGATATAATAAATTAGAGGCTAAAAGATATGATATATTAAGGAAAATCGATTGGAATAACAGACTATATATCAAAACTATAGCCAAATATTTGTGTTAAAATAGATAACGAAAGTTGAGATCTTCAATGAGATCTCATTTCTTTGCTTTTATGGTCGCATTGTTTTTCAGTAATAACTTTCATTTAATTAAAATCACTGTTAAAGTCAATTAGGTTTGCACTAAATTAAGATAATATTTGCCAAAAAATATTGACAAATAT